TATATATATAAAGAACGCAACGCGACGACGTGTGCACAAACGGATTGTTTTTAATGACGATCCGTCAGACTGCCACCGGCAATCAGCAGACAGCGTCGCGCCGTCTAGCGCTCACGAGGAGTACGACGCAGTGAGTGCAAGGCTTTATTATGCAGAGAACTGTTCAGAGAACTATATATTTTGTGTTCATGAGGCGTAAATATACGAATTTGTAGTGCCCGTATAAACGTATAAAAATTCGCTAAATTGGATCAGCCCGAAATACTAAAACAATGTAAAAAAACGGGGACTTCTAAATCAAATAATAGTTTGGTTCTTCAGTTTACGATCCATTTTAGTTAAAGTCAGACTCCGGAGGAAAAAATGTTTTGATATGTTGTAGCTGATTTTTCTAAGACAGAAAAAAGTTGTTTGACGAAAAACTGGGGAACGGTGAACGAGCTACAGGAGGAAAAAGGTATAAAAGTGGGCGGTTACGCCCCTTTCCCCCCCCCCCCCAGTTTTTAAATATTCAAAAATCTGTATCTCATTCACCGTTGCTCAGTTTTTCGTCAAACAACATTTTTCTGTCTTAGAAAAATCAGTTCTACAACATATCAAAAAAACTTTTCCCTCCGGAGCCTGACTTTAAGTGGTTGTTATTTAACTTTCTAAAATGCATTGGGTGAGTTTTGCTTAATCACGAACCACAAAGTTAGCTAATGCTTATAGTTGTTAAGAAAGTCCTACTGACTTTGAATGGTCACTCTGGTTAGACAACAATAAATGTTTTACTTTTTCCATATAATGATATGTAATTTCATGTGTCCAGTTCTATATAACTCTCTATTCCAACAATAGGCCTATACGTTTATTATGTTATGAGAATCTTACCTAACAGTGTTGAAAAAAGTGACTCGAACGTTCCCACGATCGTGCTGTACGCATATAATCTTGTACCGAATAGCATATACCCGCACGCACCATACGAAGCAAATATGATCAAAAACATGAAAAAGAAGTTTAAGAGTTCCTTGTAGCAAGACCCGATCGTGTTGGCCAGAAGAAGCATTTTCCGATTGAACCGAAGCAGTTTCAAGAACTTGATTGTAGATATAAATAACACAATGCCAATGATGTAATAATAGAGCTTAAAGACAAAACGAAGATAATGCAATCAAATGGCATCTCATTTTAATAATTTTGTATTTTTGACCAAAGTAAACGGATGAACCCTTTGTTTTTTATCCAGAATAATTAAGCATTGTTATGTTGGTTAGAGTAGCTCTAAATTGACCTAACATTTTGTATTTTACTATTATAATCATTAAATATTCTTCCTTTGTTAAGAAAGTAAACATGAACACTTCTTTATCATTTTATTAGTGCGCAGGTACGTCAAATTTTATGAAGACGACCTTACGTTAGGAAGCTTTCGATTGCACGAGGGTAGGACGTAGAACGTAATGATGTCACTGAAGTCATCTGGGCATGCGAGAACGTTAAGTTCTCCTCGTCGCGTGTATTCTATGACGCAATTTGGCCAAATCTACGTATATGCAGAGAAAGTAGGACGGTCACGCATGAGTGATTCCGTTCTAGCGTCGCGTCGTCGAACAAATCGAAAGCTCCCTACTGTCAGCAAGCAGTGGCGGCGCCAGGATTTCCCCGACGGGGGGGGTCCAATCTCCCCGACGGGAGGGCTGATGTCCCCGACAAGAAAAAGTGGGCGTGGTCGGGCGAAACCTTTCGAAAGTGGTCCAGGGGACGTAGCCCCAGAAAATATGACAATTTAGGGGTTTCAAAGGCATATTTAATCGATTTTATAGCCTAATAATAGGCCTATGTACAAAATACATAATTGTACAAAATACGAATTGTGGTTTTTCTCCCCGACGGGGGAGGGGAAGGGGGAGGCCTCCCCGACGGGGGAGGGGAAGGGGGAGGCCTCCCCGACGGGGGGCTGTAGCCCGAAGGCCTCCCCGACGGGGGGCTGTAGCCC